TTTTTGACAAGTCCTCAAGGGTCTTAAGTCTTGTATTTCCAAGAAATTGAATTTTTCATGAACATCGCCATATTTTAGGGTACCATACCCCCTTAAGGTAAAAGTCTGCATACAAGCCAAGTGTCCCATTATGCGATTACGTCGGCGCTTATCTCTGGTTTAAGCGACTGGGAGTATATTTCTAACTGTAAAGCGCTTTTGAACTTTTAGGATATTGGCGCTATATAAATATTTTATTATTATTATTATTATTTTCTTCTACTCCTTGAATAGGATGCTAGTCCATCGTAGGGTTATCCCCTGTAATGAAGTTGCTGGTACCGATTTATACACCTGGGTGGAGAGAGACACTGTGAGAGTCTGCCCAAGAACATAACGCTGACAACACAATGTTTCTGGCAGGGGCTAGAACCCTGATCACTCAATCCGGAGTTAAGCAAACTAACCACAAGAGCTCCGCACCTTCCGTGCATTAATTGCTAATTGCTAATTTATGTATGACAAATAAAGATTTTGTCAGAATTTATTCTGTCGTCAAATTTCTATAATAAATGCTTGTGTATCTTTTCCAGTTGTTGAAGAGCCAGCTGACCTTATAGAAAGAATTCGCCAACTCTACATAACCCGTGAAGGTAGGCTGTCATTGTTTCCTTGGTGTGAAGAGTTCAACTTTAGCCTGAACGAAATTTTTACAAGGTTGAAGATTGTCAACAGGGACAAAACAAGAAGAGTGACAACTGCGCAAATTACCAGCATGACGGAAATCTTCAAATCCCACAAAGAATGTCCCAAGCCCAGGACTGTCTTGATTGAGGGAGAACCGGGGATGGGGAAGACAACCTACTGTCAAAAGCTGGCGTATGATTGGGCTGAAGGCCAAGAAATGGATGCGACTTTCCCAGATATAAAATTACTTCTTTTTTTGAAATGTCGTGAAATGTCAGGCAACATTTGGGAAGCCATTGATGATCAACTTCTTCCAAAGGATATCGAAGAAGAAGCCAAGGAAAACTTCTTCAAGTACATCCATGCGAGCCAATCACAAGTGTTACTGGTGCTTGATGGATTGGACGAAGCCCCCTCAACTCCAAGGCAAATATTTTCTGACCTTGTTGAAAGTAGAGAGCTTCCTAAGTGCCATATCGTACTCACGTCCAGGCATGAGGGTGGAGTCAAGGTAAGCAAGTACTGTGACACCTTGCTAGAAATTGTAGGATTTGCTGAGGAAGACTCCAAGAGCTTCATCCTTCGATACTTTAAGGACATGGAAGCTCTAGGCCAAAACCTCTTGAGGGAAATAGAATGTAAAGAAGCACTCAAGGAACTAACAGTGAATCCTTTAACCACGGCACTTCTCTGTCTTCTTTGTGAGGATTTTAATGGCGATCTACCTTCTAACAGAACCCACCTGTACCTTGAAATAACAAACTGTGTTCTCAGGAGATTTCGCCGGAAAAAAGGATTACCTGATAAAAGTGAAAACCTCACTGAAGTCTACAAGGACGAATTAGAGCGACTGGGACGGATAGCCTTGAAAGGTTTGAAAGAAGATAAGATGTCCTTTGAGGAAAACGAACTTGGAGGTTTAGCAAGTGAGACACCTGTCTTTGAATTTTTGTCAGTCCAGACAGGAAGCAGCAAGAGAAGTCCCTTCATGTCTTATGGATTTTCACACAAGAGCTTTCAAGACTATTTTGCAGGTTTCTATCTCTCTAGCCAGATCTCAAAGGGAGAAATTGACTTTGAAAGTCTGCTTGCTGACGAAAAGGTCATTGGCAAGCTCGAACAAGCACTTTTGTTTGCAATTGGAATTACTGGCCTTCAACATGGGGAAGATGTGTTGTGTCTCTTGAAAACCGTTACCAAGAAAGCCAATCTTGCCTGCAACTCGATCCTTCAAAGTTTTTATCTGTGCTTTGCCTTCAAATGTGTTGGCGAATGTTCAACAACAAATTCAGGACTTCGAGCCCAAATGTTACACTTAATAGGCACTGGTCTAGAAGTTCAATGGTTGATCATTTCACACAACAGCTGTGACGTCCAGTTGCTTGCCGAGGCCCTTAAAGCCAACACCACAGTGACTAAGCTGGGAATGCCGTCACATGCTTTCGGTGACTTGTGTGCCACCTGTTTGGCTGGGACACTCTGTGTTAATAAGAAACTGACTGAGGTGGATATGTCAAACAACATTATCACTGCACGTGGAGCCAAGCATCTGGTGAACGCTCTTGTGGTAAATACAACTCTCCTTGGTTTGAATGTTTCGTTCAATTTTTTGCATGATGATGGAGCACGGATCTTTGCAGAGTTCCTTAAGGGCAGCAAAGCCTTGCCTGCCTTAAACTTGTCCACAAATGGCATTGGAAACCCAGGTGCCACTTCAATTGCCGAAAGCCTTCAGATGAATACCACTTTGAGGTTCTTAGACTTGTCAGGAAACCCTAACATTGGTAACCCTGGTGCTGTGTCACTGAGTGAAGCTCTAAAAGTGAACAGAACCTTGACTTGCTTAAATCTGTCAGGAATTGGTATTGGGGATAAAGCTATTCGTTCACTTTCTGAATCCCTAAAAGTTAATACCAGCCTAACCTCTCTGGCACTGTCAGATGTGAAGATTAGTGCTTACAGTGTCAGATCGATTGCTGAGGTCCTAAGAGTCAACTCCACCCTGAATTGTCTTGAGTTCTTAGGAAACAAGGTTAGTGTTGGTGGGGCTCGGTTAATAGCTGAAAGCCTCAAATTCAACACCACCCTTGAATATCTGAATCTGTCAAGGAACAACATAAGAGCGCCAGGGGCACAGTTCCTTTCCGAGGCCCTCAAAGTTAACTCGACGCTGGCCATTCTGGATTTATCACAGAACGCCCTTGGTGCTCGTGGTGCCCAGTTTCTTTCAGAAGGTCTAGGAGTCAGTACTTCTCTGACGCAACTGGATCTGTCAAGAAATGACATAGGTACTGCAGGTGCCCAATCAGTGGCTGAGGCCCTCAGAGATAATGGCCCATTGGCATGTCTTAACCTTTCAACCAACGTTATTGGTGACACTGGAGCCAAGTCACTCTCAGAGGCCCTTAAAGCAAACATCACTCTGACTAAATTGGATCTGTCAAGAAATTGCATAGGCGCTACAGGTGCCGAATCAATGGCTGAGGCCCTCAGAGATAACGCTCCATTGGCATATCTTAACCTTTCAACCAACGCCATTGGTGACACTGGAGCCAAGTCACTCGCAGAGGCCCTTAAAGCAAACACCACTCTGACTAACCTAGATTTGTCAGAGAATGGCATCCAAACCTCTGGTGTTCAGGCTTTCGCTGAGGTCAAGAAAAGTAATGATACGTTGAATTCTGTATTTTTTCTGTACAACGATATCGGTGATTTAGGTCTTCAAGCACTTTCCGATTCGGGTTGCCGAAATGTGTTTTTGCCTCCAATTTTCTTAGTTCCACTAAGATCTGGAGCCACTGAATTTGATTCGTCAAAGAGCGCCAAAAGATAACTTTTTTAAGAAAACACCGCATGATGGTGACGTTCAAGACTGAACAACAAAACACCACATGACGTTCGAGATTGAACGTAATTACATAGTTCACAGGGACATACTTAACGCTTTTTCGTTGTCAGTGTTTTTTCGGCAAGTTATTACAAAATTTATAGCCTTTTGCACTTGTTTGCCATGCTGGTTCCGCCACTGGACCACAGCTTGGAAATCTGCAAGATCGTAATTACGCAGTTTTGTAAACGTCATAATCATTGTAGATTTCGTTAGGGCCTTCCTTTAAGAATTAATTAGTAGATTCCGTTGAAGCTCTAGTGAATTATCGCAATATTCGTGCATTTAGTAATTTTTTAAAGATGTTGTTGGGAAATTCTCTCTCGAGTTGCGAAATTGAGGTTCCAATCCCGTCTGCCCCTGGTCAAGTGTTCCATCTCGGTCCATGTGGATTGTGCGTTCTGTTCTGTCTACTGAATGGTGCGTTCCATTTAACTTTTTAGGGGGAGAAGGAGATGATTGATTTGGTAGGGTTTTTTTTTTTAGCCCTTTCAAACAAGCACTTGGATTTTTTTTTTTTCACGAGACGTGTGTGTGCATGATATTTTTTTCTTCATGTAATATCCTTTTTTTTCGGCTCACTGAACGTGCGAGAAATCCTTTTTCCGGCAGTGGTTGTGTGCATGAATTTTGTCTTGTACAAGTATGCTTGCAGGAATTTGTTTTATCAAAATCTCCCACCCCCACCCCCTCAAAAGTCAATGGTCCGCCCTTAAGTTTTTCTCCAATCTTCTTGATGATAATTTGCAGACTGAGAAGAGGTAATGATATCTTCCGGTATTTCTTCCATGGAACTTCATAGCGTATTTGGGGAGAAACTTAAAAATATTTTAAAATTCCATAGGAACAGGACAGATGTTTGTATTTCTTAACTCCAAGTAGGTCCTACTGGAAGTGAGACCTCTAGCAAGTTTAATTTAATTTTAATTTTATTATGCACGACCCGATAAGCTACTCAGCTTTAATTTTAATCGTGCTTAAAATAATAAGGGTTGTCTGTCTGTAAATATGATTTTTTGGTGAAAACAGGAAATGGTGCAGTATTTTCAAACTAAGTTAAGTAGTTCATACTGATCCAAAGAGAGTGAACAATTGACAAATGGGTGTTCACGCATTTGCCATTGTTATCAAGGCAGTGTCCACATTGGATTTTTTCTCATCCGTCTACCAAACTGGGTTAAAAATAGTTTCTTAACGGATCTCGTTGCAGGACAAATTTTACAACTTATTAGCTTGTTTGTCGAAAGTAGACGAGCCAATCGCATCTTCCCACAGTTCACAGTTTAAGATTACTGGAAGTTCTATTAAGTCTGTAACACAATAGTTACAGATATCAGCTACTGACTAACGTAGCATTACTAAGGCCAAATGGGTAAGACTAGTGGCTAGAATTCCGAGAGATGACTGTAGTCTTAAATAAGGTTAACCTGTAAAAAATAGCTTGACCAAGTTGTTCAACGAGTAATACAAGCGCAAATACAATAGTCACAGGGCGTTTATGTATCCAGATCCAGTTCTGTATCGGTTCCCACTATTGTGAACCGATGTGAAAGGGGCGGAGATACTCTTCGTTTAGTGGAGGGCATTAAATTGCGGACGTAAATTTTACTGAAAGTGAAGAATGATCATCGCAGTAAATTTTCCAATTTACATTGGGAGCGAGGTCAATTCATTGACCTCGCTCCCAATGTGTGGCTTCATAGCTCAGTTGGTAGAGCATCGCACCGTTATCGCGGAGGTCACGGGTTCGCATCCCGTTGAAGCCCTGATTTTTTTCAGGCTTCTTCTTTCCAATTGCTTAAATTGGAAATTTACTGCGATGATCATTCTTCACTTTCATCTACAACCGCAGTTCAAATATGAATTGTTTCATATATACTTGACGTAAATTTTACTGTTGAACACAAAGAAAACATGTCATACTGTTTTGACGGTTGATATCGGTAAATTTCTTCATAAAAGAAAACAATCGAAGCCGTGGTCTTTTGTGGCACTTTCAGGGCGTCATCATGTTCCCTTGTTCCCCGCTTGACATCCACTGGATGTTCAGATGAGACCCCCGCCCCCTGTCCGGCCCATGTCCCCACCCCCTCCCCTTATAGCTTAACTCGCCTCCCCAAGAGTCAGGGCCTTCCAGTCGCTTAAGTTTGGTTTTATAACATTTGCACACTTTTAGGCCTAAATAGCACTCTGGTTAGCTACGATATTTAGTTAAAACGTCTGTAGTCTGCAAATGTCATGACTGCCAATTCTGCCAATTCTGCAAATGTCATGACTGTTTTCAGCTGTCTCGTTCCTGTTTTCGTTGTGTACGATTCTCAACGTGAAATAAAACTTATTATCATCATCATTATTATTATTATTATTATTATTATTATTATTATTATTATTATTATTATTATTATTATTATTATTATTATTATTAT